CACATCTTGTGAGGTTTTTTTTTTTTTTTTCTTCAAACTGGGTATTTTTGAAAGCCTTTCCTAGTACACCATGTTCTGACATTTCCCTCGTGTTGGGGACTGTTGGGTAATTTGTTGCACCTGTGAAATCTGTTCCCTTGGGGTCACTAATGTCCCTGTCAGATTTTTTTCTCTTGTTAAAATGGACATGTATGTTCTAGGTTGAAAGGGCAACTTTCTTTCTTTTAAGATTTATTTATTTTTATTGGAAAGGCAGAGTCACAGAAAGGAGAGACAGAAAAATCTTGCATCCTCTGAATCACTCCCCAAATGGCCACCCCAAATGATGTTGGGCAAGTCTGAAGCCAGGATCTAGGAACTTCCTCCAGGTCTCCCACGCGGGTGCAGGGTCCCAAGGCTTTGGGCCGTCCTCGACTGCTTTCTCAGGCCACAAGCAGGGAGCTGGGTGGGAAGTGGAGCTGCCAGGACATGAACTGGGGTCCACATGGGATCCTGGCAGCATAAGCAGAGGATTAATATGTTACACCACGGCACCAGCCCAAGCCTGATTTATTAGGGGCTTCTGTGTGTCTGCCTGGCTTAATATCTTCTGCTTCTGGCTGTGTGGCCAGGAGAGCTGTCACAGCAGTTCTGGCCTTGGGTCTTGCTGGGTTCTATGTTCTACCAGGCCTCTGGGGGTCTCCGATGTCAACGAGCGAGCCCTGGGAGAGTCCAGGAACTAGTGGTGTGCTTGCCACCTTCACACCCACGAGCACAGTCTCGCGCAGGGAGGTGAGCCGCCCCTTCCACCCAGCAGCCGTAGGGGCTGCCGGAGCTGCAGGCAGCTATGCCACCCAGCAGCCGCAGCGTTCGGATCTCATCTGATAGGATTCACAGATAATGAGGACACCATTTTCTGACTTTTAGAAAAGATCTATTTTCATTTATTTGTCCAGAATAAGGGAGAGGGAAAGACAGAAAGAATGAGAACGCTGACATGCAATCCCAAGCATTCAGACTGTATGTATGTGTGTGTGTGTGTATTTTTTTTAAAGATTTATTTTTATTATTTTGTTTATTGGAAAGGCAGATATACAGAGAGGAGAGACAGAGAGGAAGATCTTCCCTTGATGATTCACTCCCCAGGCGGCTGTAACGGCTGGAGCTGAGCCAATCCGAAGCCAGGAGCCTCTTCCGGGTCTCCCACGCGGGTGCAGGGTCCCAGGACTTTGGGCCGTCCTCGACTGCTTTCCCGGGCCACAGGCAGGGAGCTGGAAGGGAAGCGGGGCTGCTGGAATAGAACCGGCGCCCATATGGGATCCCGGGCGTTCAAGGCGAGGACCTTAACCACTGCGCCACCACGCCGGGCCCTGTGTGTGTGTATTTTAAGCAGAGCAACTGGGTTGCTCCAATATATGATTTCTGTGTGGCTGCCACTTATTGCTTAATTTGCTGTGCCACAATGCTGGCATAGCATTTTTTTTTTTTTAATTTCAGAAGCAGAGAGATGCATCTTTCCATTTCTCTGTGCTGCTTTCTGGGTAACTTTTTTTTTAAAAAGATTTATTCTTACATTACTTTTACTGGAAAGTCAGATTTACAGAGAAGGAGAGACAGAGAAAAAGATCTTCCATCCGTTGATTCACTTTCTGAGTGGCTGCAATGGCCAGAGTTGAGCCGGTATGATCCGAAGCCAGGAGCCAGGAGCTTCCTTTGGGTCTCCCACGCGGGTGGGAGAATGGCTTTGGGCCATTCTCGACTGCTTTCCCAGGCCAGAAGCAGGGAGCTGCATGGCAACTGGAGCTGCTGGGACACAAACTGGTGCCCACATGGGATCCTGGCGCATGCAAGTTGAGGATTTAGCCACTAGGCTGCCGTGCCGGGCCCCTGGGTCACTTCTTGCTTCCATTTTCCTCTTCAGCTATGTTCTATATGTTGTGTACACCATTTCTTTTATATAAGATTTATTTATTTTTATTGCATGGGATCCCGATGCATTCAAGGCGAGGACTTTAGCTGGCAGACCACCGCGCCAGGCCCCATTTCTTGAATTTCTAATTTGGATTGGTGTCTTTTTGCTTTCTAGAACTTGTCTATGGCCTATTTTCTAGAACATATGGTTGCTTGATAGTATGTTTTGTTGTACTTTCAACACTTCCGTTCATTTTCTTTAAGTGTATTACTCATGTCTAGATACTTTCTATCCTATCATTTAAAAATGATTATTTATGTGATATGCAGAGTTAGAGAGAAAGAGAGAGAGAGGGATCTTCCATCTGCTGCTATTTACCCAAATGACTACAATGGCCAGCGTCAGGCCAGGCTGAAGTCAGGAGCCCAGAGTTTCTTCTGGGTCTCCCACATGGGTGCAGGGGCCCAAACATTTGGCCATCCTCCACTGATTTTTCTACATGATTAACAGAGAGCTAAATCACAAGTCTAACAGCCAGACTAGAGCCCACAGCCACATGGCATGTGCCTGTCAGGATTGATTAGATGAGAAGATGCTTACGAGAGAAGTGGTTTCATTAAACTACACTGCGGCCATCACGCATACTTTTAGCACGATGCCCCTTGTCTGAGAACACAGACTTTTACATCCCCAGAAGCCCTTGTTACCAGGCCAGGATATGCCAGCTTTCCTTCATCACTGTCTTGGGTAGAACTTAGAGTCTCCAGGGTTGGTTTTTATGTTCATTAAACTTGAAGAAAGCCAAAAGGGGAGAGCAACACAGCCAATGAGCAAAGGGGAGGAGTCAGCCTGTGGGCTAGGGGGCCTTCCATCACTTACAACGGGAGGGGGACAGGAAGGAGAGAGAGCATTGCTCGAGTCTCAGCTGCTTCGCTGGCACCGCAGACTGCCTGTTTCACTCCCTATACCACAACCCCAGTTCTGTGTCATGTCATTTCAAAATCTCCTCTCTTTACGGGCTTTAAGTGTACATGTATGTTACTCATGCTGGCTTGTTTCTTGTCCAATGTGTGACTCTTTTCATTGTCTATTTTTAGAATTCTCTGTTGAGAGGCCTTGGCCTTGGTTCTGCCAGGTACCCTGGGCATGATGACGTAATTTAGGACTTTAAGCCGCTGAATTTTGTTACTGCTGAAGCTTCATTATTGTATTGGGTGGTCACAATCCAAGAGACATCTGTGTGTCCTATAACACACACAGCTTGCACACGGATGCCCTCCCTGTGTCACTGCCTGCTTCACTCATACCATGTGTCAAGACAGAAAGTCTGAGTCCACGCCACCTGTGTCCGAGCTCACAAATGATTCCGACTTCTGTCAGCGGGGTCAGAAGACACACACTTCTCACTGCCCCCTCCTGCAGGCTAGTGACTTCCCCAGAGCCAAACCCAGGTGTTGGCCATGGCTCATGGGCAGAGGACACGCTCAGACACTGGTCCTGCCTGCAGCCGCACGGATCCTTGAGGTCTCGGCCCTCTGGGCCCTTGTCTGCCTTCCTTGCCAGCTCAGCCCTTCAGTGATGGCAGCTTAGTTCTGTCCTGCACCAGACCTGGGGGTCCTGTGTGTCTGCCCACCTTGCCCCCAAGGTGTACACACTTTTGAAGGCCCTGTCTCTGCAGATGGCCTCATAGTGCCTGGAGGGTTCTGGTTGCCCTCTCCTTGAGCTTCTGGCACCCAGATCATGCTGTGCTAGCCAGGGGACGCACTCGGGCCACTTCTCAGTTCAGGGTGCTGCCCCCAGCAAGGCACAGAGCTTGTCTTGGGGACCAGGTACTGAACGCCACCTTCTGCTCCCTCTGACACTGGACTCAGCGCATGCGGGCCTTGCTGATGCGCCAGGCCACTGTCCACGCCCTTCGCACGTCTTCTACCCCGCGTCCCCAGCCCCCAGAACAGGGACACTGACAGGTGCTGAGGCTGGGGCGTGGGGCTTGGCTTGGGTCTGCAGGCCAGCGACCTGGGTGTGGGTGGCTGGGTGCTGCTTGAAGCCCTGGCCAGCTCAGAACCGCCGCCCTCCCCGTTTCTGTATGGGCTCAGTACTTCCTTCTACTTACTATCTTAAATAAACCATTTATTCAGGAGGAACAATTGAAGAAAGCAGCTGTGACATGGATTATAAAACGAAACAAGCATAGCTTGGCCTCCAGGTACAAGGGTGAGATGGCTGTGTTGCCACAGGGACTGCCAGTGTGGCTTGGGGTATGACGGGCTGATGTGTGGGCGTGAGTGCAGACACGCACAGGCGCACTCGCACACACACGCGCACATGTCTGCCGCCCGCAAGCGGTGTGGGCAGCGATGAATGAGTTTGTGTGTCTGCAGCCAGGCCCTTTCCCTGCCCCCCAAGCCCACCACAGCAAAAATGAGGCCTTCTTCTTCCCCTCCCTCCCCCCGGCTCTTGCTCAGAGACCCCCGTCTCCTGCAGTGGCAGTTTGACCACCCTCCGTCACAAAGAACCCCAGTGATGCCGAGGCTCACGAGAGGAAATGACAGTGAGGACGCCAGATGTGCGGCCAGGGGCCCGCCCCGCCCCCATGCTGCCTCCCTGTGCTCGGGAGGCCCAGCTCCACGGGGCCCTTGGGGAGGGGCGGGGAGGGGAGGACATGAACACTTCCCACCATTACGTGCGCGCACACACTGCCACCCGACTGGGCACAGGGTCAGGCTAGGCCTGGGAGAGGCCCCTGTGGCAAATAAGGTGGTCCACACCTTTCCTGGAGGGGAAAACAGCAGGGAACCCTACCCCCACCCCCAAAGAAGAAAGTAACAGTCGCAGGAGAGGAAGGGTGTATGCAGGGCTGGTCCCACAAAAGGCAGTATGGCTCGGGTTGCTCATAGGCACATGGCACGGGAGCAGAGAAGCACTCTGCTCCACTCCCGCCTCTCGGCACTGTCCCCCAACCCCCTCCCGTGTGAGGTATAGCGCTTCCCTCCCCCTCCCTCCCCCTCCCCCTCCCCCGTGTCCCTCCCACCCTCCTCGACCATGTGGGTGGTCAGAGTACCCTCTTGTGGGCAAGGGTGAGGGACCAGCCTGGCAACACTATAGGACCTTATGTAGGGTCCAGCTCAAAGACCCCATCACTGGTGGGGGTGGTGAAGAAGGAGGGTGGGTCAGAGGTGGTGGACTCATGCCCCCCGCTGCCCACCCCCTGGGGGCGTCTCTCCTGCAGCCGCAGGCTGCGCTCGAAGTCTAGCAGCTGCCCCATGAAGTTGAAGTTGGGTGAGATGTTAGACTTCTTCCTCTTGACCAGGTCGTAGGCGTCGTTGAGTGACAGGTGCAGCTTCTGCATGAGGTATGCCACGGTGACGGTGACGGAGCGGCTGACTCCCGCCAGGCAGTGGACGAGCACACCACAGTTCTGGGACAAGGCTTCGTCTAGGTGTAGCAGGGTTGGGGACATGATGACAATGGTCACTGGGGGTGAGGCCAAATCCATGTGGCCTCAGATGGGGTGTCACCCTCAGAGCTCCCTCTGGTTGGGCTCTGCCTGCCTCCCTGCCCCCCACCACCCCCGCAGATGTCTGGCTTTGGACCCTGGGAATAGTGGCTAAGCCTGGGAGGAATTCACTGGGATGCAGAGGGGAGGGGAGAGGCCGGAGGCAGGAGTGTAGGGCAGAGAAGCACGCAGAGAGCAGCGTCCACTCACCGATGAAAGCAATGGCCTCCGGAAAGAACTGTGACAGGTTCTGGCTCCAGTGGTCGGAAATGGGGATCTGCTTGTAGTGAAAGTCCCCATTCTTCTCGAACAGATTGGGGAGGTTGGGGGTGACATTGAGGATGTAGCGGATGCCCAGCCTGGCCAAGCTTTCCAAGTTGGCTGAATCACGGGCACAGCCTAGGTAGAGGTTGGGCAGGATCTGCACAGGAAAGGCGCGGAGCAAGCCCAGCGGCGGGGGCGTGCTACCCTCCGAGTCCAGGCCACAGGTCAGGGAGTCGCGCTCAGGCTCGGTCTCGGAGCAGTCAGAGGTCAGGCACAGGGCGCCCAGCCCCACCACGGGCGCCGGGCTGCGCAGGGCAGCTGTGCTGGAGCCTCTGGGGCCGCCAAGGCCACTCTCACACAGCTGCGGACACTCGGCCTGAAACCTGCTGAAGCCACCTGTCGGAGACGGGCGAGAAGTCAGTCTGAAGCCACCTTCTGGCTTTGCAGGTGTTCTCAAGGGGTGCCATGCATCACATGTCTGCATCCTGTTTCCTGCGTCTAGGTCCCAGCTGCATTTGTGACTCCCACTTCCTGGCACTGTGCAATCTAGGCAGGCAGCATGTTGATGGCTCAAGCTCCAGGCTTTAGCCTCATCTGGCCCTGGCTTTTGTGGGCATTTGGTAAATGAACCCGTGGATGGAAGAGTTCTAGCTGCCTTTCTCTTTGTGTCTCCCTGTATTTCAAATCAATACATAAATAGACGGACACAGCCAGCAGCTTGGTCTGCATTGTGACCCATGTGGCGGCCCACAGGCTCCTGGGCAGCTCTCCCTTGGTGCTAGCGGCCGGTGCTCGGCCAGCTGCTGCAGGCGCAGCAAGCCAGGCTCAGGCAGAGCGCAGGCAAGCGTGAGGCCCGTCAGAGCAGGCACCGGCACAAGGGCCAGCAGTAAAAAAGAAAGGTTTATAGGTCAGTCCTGTAGCTGACCCACGGAATGGGGCCTGGGGGAGGGGGAGGATTGTAGCATGTCACCTGACAGGAGCCAGCATCCCTGCCTCTAAGGGCTTTTCTTGGCCACTCACTGATGAAGAGGTTCATGTGAACACTGCCTGGGGCCCCTTGGTGGTGGTGGTTGGGGATGGTGGAGGTGCTTGGCTCGGCCGCCTCGGTCGCGAGGCTGGTTCTTGCCTCTGCCAGCCCTTCACAGCCTGCGTGGGACTTGGTTGGTAAGCATCTCGTGAGCTAAGTCAGCCAATTCTCCCCATTTGCCAGACTCAAAAACTGGACTCTCAAGGCTGAAGGGACTCGTCCAAGGTCGTGCTCAGACTCCCCCTCCTCCCGAAGCAGCCTGGCAGGTTGCCAGGTGGGGCTCACCCAAGGTCAAATTAATGATGAATTTCCCAGGGCAGGCAGGCTCATGTCTCCCTCCATCCCTCCCCCCACCTCCGCTGGTGCCCAGCGCCACTCCTGCGGCACCTACCCTGTAGGTAGTAAGCCAGGTAGCCTTCCTCTCGCAGCTTCTGGAGCAGGGTGCCCAGCACCGAGTCTGCTTCCCACTCTTCCGCCTCAGCCTCGGCTTCCCCGCGCCGGCGCCGGCCCCCGGTCTGGTCGTAGAGGAGCACGGGGGCCGGCGGCTGCGGCTGCGGCGGGGGCCCGGGCAGCAGCGCGCGCACCGACAGGCTGCCCCTGCGCAGGCGGCGCAGCAGGAGCGCGGGCAGGGCCACGCTGAGCGCTCCGCCGATGCGAGCCGCTTCGTACAGCTCGCGGCTGCGGCAGTCCAGCAGCAGCAGCCCCGGCCGCGAGGGCGCCAGCTCCTGGCGCAGCCAAAGGCAGGAACGGCCTAGGCCCTCCATGGGCCCGGGGCTTCTTGTTCGTCGGTCGGCGGGCGCTGCACACAGAGAGAAGACAAATGCCATGAGCTCCAGTCTCGGCTCCGAGGGGTCAACGCCCCGTGTCGCCAAGACTGTGGAGACCCACGATCCCTTGGGATCAGCCCGCTCGTTGTCCCAGGGAGGCCAAGCAGAAAGGCAGCACCCAGCAAAGCACCCCGGGCGGCGGTCACTGGGACGCCCAGCGCAGCTCCTCTTCCTCAGAGAATGGCTGGGCGAGTAGCGGCTGCCTGCTCCGGGCTCTGGTGGGGAGGCCGCAAGGCCACAGCCACCTCCTTTCACACCTACTTTCTGAGGCGCTTGCTCAGCCTGCCCGGGATCACTCCCCAAGCTGCAGCTTCCCACTTTGGGGCTGTGTGCCTGCGAAGCGGCGACAGCGATCAAGGCCTCCATTGCCCCCCACTACCAAGCGGAGCCAGGGACAGAGGCGCCACCGGCTGATGGGCCTCCAGCAGCCCTCTCTGGCTTGACCCTGCCCGAATCCCCCGCACCCTCAGGAATGAACAAAAGGAGAGAGACCTGGAGAGCGATTGCTCAGCCGTTGGCTGCGCAGGGACGTCCCGGCCAGAGCTCTGGCACCGCGGGGCGCCGGAGACCCCAGGGCAGGCGCACGTGGAAGATCGGCCTCGTGCCGCTCGCGAGCTGGCCGCTTCCTGGCAGCCAGAGTGAGCTACCACCTTGGAAGTCGCTGCCTTCGGATGGGGAGTAGCTGCCCCAGGGGGCGGGCCGGGGCGGGCCAGGGCAGCGGGGGCGGGCTCAGGGGGGTCAGCAGACCAATCGCTGGGAGCCAGATGAGGCGGGTGGGACCTGAGAGCTGCAGGCTGAGCTGAGCCCTCCACTCAGGCAGCATAGGGTCGAGGCAGAGGCCAAGGGCAGGTCAGGGGCCCGGTAGGGGACCAACTGCAGTTCCCCTGGCCGCCGGCGCCAGCTTGGTCCTCGTAGGCAGGGGAGGGGGGCTGAGGACAAAAGCCCAGCCTCCGTGTCCAGAGGCTGCCTCTTACACAGCTCCCTGGTGACTCTGAACCATTGTCCCCCCTGACTGGACCTCAGTGGGCGCATCTGTAAAATGGCAGCAGCTCGTGCTCCTGTGGGGGTACTGCTGAAAGCACAGGGCACCGTGCTGGTGTCACACAGGGCCAGCCCAGCGCCTCCCGCTGCTTCATTCCATTAACCATCACCCCCTTCTCCCCAACCCTTCCAATCAATCCAGAAAGAAGCAGCTTCTATTTAGGTCTCTCACATCAGCGATGTCCCCTGGGCTCCTACATGGAATGGCCTCACATTCACCAGCTCTTGGCCAGGTCACTGTCACAATTTCCCAAAGTCTCCATCAACTTACTCTCCACCGTGGCCCGAGCCAAGCCTAGGGACCTGGGCCCCTCCAGAGCCCCTGCTTACCTGGTGCTCCCAGCATAGTAGGGTAGATGGACAATCAGCAGGGAGACCAAACCAGTTCTCGGATGGGATGTTCCACGGAGACAATGAAAGGAGAGCTGAGACAGGTTTCTGAAAAGCAAACAGCCTCTGATGAAAGATGCGTAGTAGATAAGATAAAACCACACAGTGACCTAAAGGTTAAGACCCTGGGAGATAGCTGGGGCAGAGATTGCACTGTGTGTTAAGGCTGGAATGCCACGGAGCAAAAGACACCTGGAGGGGCGAGGTTCAGCCTCACCATGGGGAGAAAGGCAAATCCAGAAAGACAGTGCACAATGGAGGCAGCGCCTGCCACCTGCTGCCATGTTCTCAGAACCCTCAGGGCTGCAAGGCGCTTGTGGGGTCACCACACCGCTCTCTCGCTGCACAGTTGGGTGTTGGTGTGGGTCCTTTGGAAAGTAAGTTTTGTGGAATTAATCTGACGATCCAGAAAGTTGAGACTTTCTTCCAAGGGTTCTAGCTTAAGGCATTGAAGGCAGAGACAGCCCCATCACACAAGCTAGAGGGTGAGCACTTAGAATTAGGTGCGGTGCACCTGCAGCTCTAGTGCCAACATTTGGCTCATGAAGCATAAAACGAAGATGAGAACATGCATGAGGTAATGCATGTCTGAGGTCACAGAGAGCAGGTCGCCTCCAAGGGGCCTTCAGCCTGCCCCCCTTCCTTCTGAGTGGCCCTGGGCAATGGGCTCATCTGTGGCCACCCTCCTTCGTGCCTGTCACTAGAACATCCAGGGGCTTTGGGCAGCTGGGCTGTGACCCCGTGGGCACAAGCCCAACCCAGGCCTTCCTCCTAGGCTGCTGTCTGGTTTCTGCTTGTTCTTGAGGCCCTCTGGTGTGCCCTTCTCCGTGCAGGCTGAGCCTGTGCTCCCACGGCGGGAACAAGCTCCCACACACTAGTTGGCACTTGACCACAGACACTCAGGCTGGGCTCCTTCAGAGCCACTGCAGTGGTAGGTGGCGCTAGCGGTGGGCAAGATGTTCCACTGGTTGCCAGCCAGTTACTTGGCCATGTAGTGTGGTGGTGGGGGGTGGCAGGGAGGCCCGCAGGTTGCTGCACAGACACGAACTCATATGCACTGTGGTGGCAGCTCAGCCACCCCTAGATGCACAGGAGAGCCCGACAACCCCCAGATGCACAGGAGAGCGGCCTCTCTAGGGAGGACTCCCTGGAGGAGGTGAGGGGGTTGAGCTGGAAGAGAGTGAGACAAGCTGTGCAGTACTGGAGAAACGGGAAGCCTGCAGTGCAACAGTCTCGGAAAGCAAGTCAGTGACTCAGTGACAGCGCCTTGCTTAGACCCCCGCCGACAAACCCTCCCAGCCGGAAAACCGTTCTAAGCCTCGGGAGCAGGGCGGAGGCAAGCTCCAAAGTCAGCGCCCGGCGCCTGGCGCCTGCAACGCTCACAGCGCCAGCAACAGGACAAATGGGAACCTGTTACCACCTCCGCACTGCAGGGCTGAGAGCAGCCAAGCCCCCCGGACCCGCCCCCCTCGAGTCCCCTGCAGCGCCTGCTCAGGGCGCCGGCCCCGCCCTGCGGCCGCTCCCCGGCCAGCCGCCGGCACTGCGGGCGGCCGCACTGCGCCCCCGGGCCTACGGGCCCCCGCCGGCGGGCGGAGGCAGGCTGCGCGGTCGCGGTTCTCCGCAGGGTGGGCGCTGCGCCCGTCGCACCCCCTCGGGGCGCCCCCCGGCCTGGGTCAGCGCCCCCTGGAGGCTGCGGGCGCGGCCGCCGCTCCCAGGCCCCGTGCGCGCCGCGTGCGCTCTCGTGGCTCGGAGCGCCCCAGGAGAGCGGTGCCCCGCCCCCAGCCCCCCAAAGCACAGCTCCCGCCCGGCCGAATGGCAGGATTTCGGCTGTCGCGGTCCGGTCACATGGCCAGGACCACAACTCCCAGAGACAGCGTTTCCTGCCAAAAGCAGAGTGTCTTTTCCACCGAGTCCACTTTGCGCCGGGGAGATGGCTTTCTGCTTTTCCTGCTCGCTCGATCTCCTCTTGGCACTGGGAGTTCCTCCGAAACGGGAGCGGGGGTGTGCCCGGCCCCTGGCTGGCCCCAGCCCCCGGGGCAGGGTCTGGTACGCGCCGGGCGCTCAGGGAAGAAATGCTCCTTAACAAGACATGAATGAATGAAACCAATTGTTTGTTGCTCGAAGGAGCCCGGGAGGGTACATCACACACTCCTTCCCAGACACGCACAACCACACGCGCGTCCAGCCTGGCTCCCGCCTCCGCACACCCAGGCACACTCGTAGAGCACGCGGGCTCCAACCCTCACCGAGCCAACCTATTCCGTGGCTGTTCAGGCGCTTTATGCCCCTTTGATCCCAAACGCCCCGTCTCCATCTAGGGGTCTGCCTCTCTTTGCCCCCCTCGCAGCCTGGCGCCTCCGTATCTAAGTACCGTACCTTGAGCCCCAAGTTACCTCTTAGGGGAGAGGTCAAGCCAGCCGCTGGGGAGGCTGGAGCTCTGCCTGGGGAGGCACGTGGGGGCCTCCCGGGGCGGCTGAGCTCCCGCTCAAGGAGAGTCTGGGGTGCGTGGCACGGATGTCACCAAGTGTTGCAGTCTCTAGAATCGGCTCGCCAGGTGTAGGGGGAAGACTGCAGACAGGGACTCAGGGCTGTGCTGGGGGCAACGAGGGCGATGGGGGCGGGGCACGATGCCGGAGAGCGCGCAATCCAGCAGGTGTGCCTGTGTCGAGGGGGCGTGTGAGAGTGCGTGTTGGGGATGCTGGCAGTGTGTGCCTGGGGAGAGGGGAATGTCGGCGGCTGGGGTGTGTGTTTGTGTTGGCACTTGGGTCCCGGGTGGGTGGGCGGGAGGCTGTGTCTGTGGGCTGGGGACTTTGGGGCGGGGGCTGCCTGTGATGGGCTCGTGCGGAGTTCGGGAAGATGGGTAGGGCTGGGGGAGCTGTCAGGCAGGCATCTTTGGGCTGTATTGGAAGCGTGCGTGCGTCTGGGAGTGAATGGGGCGTGGCGGCATCTGCGATGGCTTGTTGGCGCGAGTTGGGAACAGCATGAGTGGTGGGTCGGGACTGCCGGCGTGCGCACCAGACCCGGGGCCGCGGCGGGCACGGTGTGCCAGGTGACCGTTCTGCCGCTGTGAGTGCGGGAAACACGGCAGCTCCACGGGCAGGGAGCGGGGGTGTGCGGCGAGTGGGTCTCGCGGAAACGCGTGTGTCGGCACCGTGGGGTGCGTGCTGGCAGGACTTTAGGGGTGCGAGGCAGAGGAGGGCAGCCAAGCCGCCTGCGGTGGGGGTGGGGTAGGGGACCGGAGGCGCCCAGCGCTCTGCTCACCTTTGAGGGGCTGGGCTCCGCGCGTCGTGGCCGGGAACTTTCCGAATCTTGGGCGGCGGGAAGCGCCACCACCAGCGCCGAAGGCTACCGGAGTCCCTGGCGGCGGCCTCGCTTGGAGCTGAGAGGCCGCCGCCGCTGCTGCGGAGGGAAACTCCAAATCCCGCCTCCGCCGCCGCCTCCGCCGCCGCCTCCTCCCCTCCCGTCGCCGTCTTCTCCGCCCCCTGCCCAGGAGGGGCACTGTCGCC